GCTTATGAAAAGACTTAAGGAGGAGCACACAATTCACAAAAGGACAAGTTTGGTTTTATGATTATTCATTCTTAAGCAGAACAAGGAAGGGCATGGTATCAGGAAGTTGGAAGAATGTCCTTAAAGTATATTTTTGCCTCAAAACTTCAACTTCTGCTTTCAGAAAGAGGATGGACATATTTTGAAGTAATGTCAAGTGGTATGGACTTGCTACAGAGTGCAAATAATTCTCTGGGGAGGAAAGTTTTCCCAGAGTGCTTCTAAAAGGATGGGAAGGAACCTAGGTCTTCATCTAATGCGGTGTCTCTGTTCAAGTCAGTGCAGCCAAGAAACGTTCAAAGCCTTTTTAGGTGTCTTGTCAGGCCATGGACCTAGTTTCAGATAGTTGTGTCTTTCTTAACAGAACATGGAAAGCCTAACTTCTGGTGTCACATGTATCCTCCAACACCAGGAGAGTCATGGAGCTCAGCAGAATTGGTGGGAAAATGTAGGGGGCTTTATCTCCAACTGTATAAAGTTAGTTAGGTGGAATTAGACTTTTGGAAAAGTTGTTTTCCTGACTCAGGCATGTCCCAAACTGGCTACCAGGTCTTGAGGCCCTGGGCAAGCATCCAAGCCCTGCAGTCCTGAATTGCTCCTAGAGGAAAAGGAGTCTGTTTCAACTCTCTACTTCTTAAAGTGTTACTTTGATTGGACAGGAGATAGCAAGCAATCTGTTTAGAAATATTACTATTATTACTCTGCCATGGTTATATTTTTAAATTATATTTTCTCTTTCCTTTGCCAAAAGCAAATGATAACACACATTTGCACTGCAGAGCCAACTGAAGCTGTGTAGGGTTTGCCCAGGCAGGTTTGAAAATGTATTCTACCCCCACTGCTGCCCAAACAGGAAGTCTTTCCCTACCTCCCCATCCCCAGGTCAGAGGCCCATGCCTTTTTATTAAAAATGACTCTTTTAAAAAAATAAAATAAGTTTTATTATCACTATAAAAGTAATACATTTTGTTGTTTATACAAGCATTACTTGGAAAATACATAAAAAAGTATAAAGAGAAAACTAGATATCATCTATAATACCAGAACACAGGAATAACTTCTATTAAATTTTGGTATATTTTGTCCTAGACTTTTTTCTAAATATTGATACAAAACTATGGATGCAAAATGTTCCCAATATACTTATATTACATATTCAGGAACATATTGCAAAAATAATTTTGTACCTTACTTTTATCACTTTATCATATCACAATCCACAAATAACCATTATAAGATCTTTGGTCTATTCCCTCTAGCCTTCCATCTGTATACTGATACAAAACCATGCATGCAAAATGCTCCCAATATATTTATACTGCATATTAGGAACACATCGCAAAAATAGTTTAGCATCTTTCTTTGATGGACTTTTGGTGTGTTTCCTCCTATCTGTCTTTCCATATTATTGATAGAAAACTATGAATGCAAAGTGTTCCCAATATATTTATATTACATATTAGGAACACCTCGCAAAGCTAGTTTAGCATCTTTCTTTGATCACTTAATATTCCACAACTCAGAGATAACCACTATTAAAGTTTTGGTATATTTCCTCCCAGCCTTTCATTTGTACAATGAAACAAAGCTGCATACAGAATGTTCCCTATAATCTTAGATTGCTTGATGGGAAGAGTGTAAAAAATTTGCACGTTTCTTTTATCACCAAGTATTTCATCAGGAGCACATTCTCATGTCACTTATTAGAGGCACCATATTTTATTTACCCAATCCTTTGTTGTTGGTCATTCAGGATGTCCCTAATTTCCATCCTTAAAAATACTGAAATGAATATTTTTATATATTCTTTTTCTGTGACTTTTTGTTCATGTAGTTTTTATGTTTTTTTTCTTGACCACTTAAATGAACTCAACATATTAAAGATGACCCTGTGTCTGCAACACTTATAGCAAATGTTTTTTCAGTTGTTGTTTGCTTGAGCATAAATTCTTTGTTTTAACTTTCTATTATGAATATAAAACCTTATGCCTTATATAAGTTTCAATTCATTAAAAGAAAACTTAAAATAACAGTGAAGGACACAAATGCTGACCCCTTACCTCCCATTGAACTATTAAAATACAACTCGTGTCCCCCTCCTGCTCCCATGGCACCCATTTTCTTCCTTCCTCAGGGCTCACTTTTCTTCTGATCTTGTCATTCGTTTGGTTCTGTAATTATTTACCAGTTGTACTATGAAGATAAGTGGCTCCCAGACCTTTCAGTTATCAATCTGTCACAAGTGCACAGTGGTATCTCGTGACATGATGATCCCCGAGATGTCTGAGGTCTGTGCATCCTTGACCCAAAATTTCCATGTCACCCATGACCCCTAAAGACTTTTTAGAGGATTATGTTTGACAATGTTACAAAAAACATGGCATAACAAAAACACATGGAAAAGAAAATAAAGAAAAACTTCAGCTTTAATCCCACCACCTTAAGCAACAAATATGTATTTTGCACTTTCTTTCCAGTTTCTGTTCCTATACAGACCCACCCTTTTAAATATGGTGTCCATGTGATTTGATGTCCCTGATTTTTAGAACTTGATATCACAAACATTTTCTAGGTTTTTATAAAGTCTTTATAAATATTATTTGTAATGGCTGAAAAAGGTTACATCGAATAAGTTAACCCCTATGGTTAAACATTCCATTTTGTTGAAACTATAGAAAGTACCAAATATGGGCCAGAGATTTTAAGTGAACTTATATCATACTTTCTTTTTNTTTCTGGGGGTGGGGTGGGGGGGCTTGTGCATGTCTACTTGTACACAGCTGGGTAATTTACAGTCACTATTTATTCATCCTGGGGCCAATCTTGGGCTTCACCCAAGAAGTGTCCAATGTGTAGGCAAAAGCTCGTCATAAAACTAAACAGTTTCACTTCAGATTTTTCTAACCACACTAATTCACCTCCATTTCCTGCTCTAATCACTACTGTGCAGTCCCTCCAGAATGAGGTCTGGAGGAAGAGGCCTCAAACTAGTCTCAAACAAATCCTTAACCTCAAGAAGCCCTGGTTTTCTTGTCTGTAGTTGTTTTTTGTTTTTTTGACTGCCTTATTCTATTTATCTCTTGAGGTTGTTGCCAATAAAAAATATGAAAGCATTTGGAATAACAAGTAAAAAAGCAAGATGCAAAAGCAAGATGTTGGAACTATCATGATTTTGATTATTGTGGTTTTTGTGGCCAGGCCTTTAAACGGTCTGGTCTGAGGATAACAGCCTGGTCAGGGGAAGAGGTGGGAGTGGGGACAAGAAATGGGTGAGCAAGCTGCTTTGGGAGAATCACACTTCAAAACAATCAAGCCTGCCTGAGTGGCTCAGTTGGTTGAGTGTTGTCCTGTGCACCAAAAGGTTGATTCCAGGTCAGGGCACATACCTGGATGGCAGACTGAAGGCCACCTATGATGTGACAATGTTTTTCTCTCTCTCCCTTCCTCTCACTAAGCATGTCTTTGGGTGAGGGTTAAAAACAAACAAATAATCAGGACTCTTAGTACCTTGGTTCTCAGCTCCCAGGGCCACCTCCCAAACTCCCACCACTGCTCAGATTATAGAGCTCACTAGTGTAAGGGGAGTGCTCCAGTGCCTGAGCAACCAAGGGAAATAGGTTCCTCCCTAATGGCTCAATTTACGATCCCCATAGGGGCCTAAGCCTTTTTGAAGGAGCCAAAAAGGTCAATTGGGGAGCAAGGGAGGAAGGCAAAGGTGGCAGATAGGGGAAATATTAGGAAAGAGCTAGCAGATTTTTGTTCATTTATTGAGCAGGAAGTGACTAATGGGTGGGGATGAGTGAGGTGTAGCATGGCTGGGAGATACACATTTGCTATAACTGATATATATATATATACTCTGCTTTTCAGTTAAGAGTAATGTAATCATTCTAAATGCAAATGCATATATAAAGTTCTAGGGTTATGTGGATGTTACACCGCAGGCCAATGGGAATATAGAGCTCTAAAAAGGTATGCCAACTTGGATCTATCCCCCTGACCCAAGTATTTAATTTCTATCAATAATCTTTCATTGATCTCCCAAAAATGCTTTTGGAACGTATTTTTATTTCCATGTTGCACAGTGTCTCAGGAAAGCTGCTTAGAAGTTAATGTCCACCTGTGTAGGATCGGGTACTCTCCCAGTGTTGCCCTGAGCTCTGTAGTACAGGATGGGGATGGGGATGGGGGGTGGGGTGGGAATAG